TCTGCCTCCCAAGAAAAAAAGGCATCATTTTATTACTTTTACAGAAGAGATTTAAACCTTGGCTTCTGAAGTTTTCCCTCTAAGCATTCCTGTCATAGTTTTCTTTCTTGACAAATAGAAATTCCTTTTTTCCTTTATTTTCCCACTTGTTCAAGACTAGATCTTAGGAATCATTCTGTAAACCATCATACACAGGCCCAATTTCTAGGTTAATCCCATTGATTCATTCTTCAGAGCAGACTCAGAGCCCACTCCCATCTTAGCCAAGGAGCAGCCACATCTCACCAGCTTTCCTTCTGGAGCCCTTGCATGACTTTGACTCTTCTTGGCTGACACTGTGGGGCTCCAAAACTCTCCAAAAGCTTTCCACCTCCCTAGCCACAGGAACAACTTACTTCTTACAGTGACCTATATGAGCTATCTAATCTCCCTTCCACCCAGACCCTCCTCACATCCAGACCCTCCTCACATCAATTTTAACTAAGGTATCTTTCCAAAAACTCATATGCTGAAGTCCTAACCCCAGTACCTCAGAATGTCCCAACATTTAGAGATAAGAGTTGTAAAAGAATTAAGATTAAATGAGATAACTGACTAGGTCCTAATCTGAGTACTTCAGACTTAAGAGAACATTAGGATATAGAGATAGGCCTCCACAGAAAAAACCCTATGGATACCTTTGTCTTAGACTCCCAGCCTCACTGCTCTCCCAGCTTCCTTGTCACATGCTTGAGATCTTCCTTGACCCTCTTGCTATTTAAAACAGCACCCCAGCACCCTCACAGCCATCCTTCCTTGCACTCTTATTTTATCTTTCTTAGTATCACTTCTCTGTTGATTATTTCCCTCTAACAAAGCAGGAAGGAATTCTGTTTACTGCTGAATCCCCTGCACAAAGGACGCCTGCCACATACGAGTGACTGAATACTAAATAAATGAGAGCTCAGTGCTTTTGTAGCATTTACCTTTTCAGGAGCAAAAGGACAGCATTGGCTGTGCTTGAGTCCAACCCAGTTGTGGGCTCATCCAGGAAGAGAATGGAAGGATCGGTGATCAGCTCCATTCCTATGCTCGTTCTTTTTCTTTCTCCTCCAGAGACACCACGGATAAACTGAGTTCCAACCTAAAACACAGTGTTATCTTTATCAACAAGAATGAACAGTCATTATCATTTGGTAGACTGGCTGCGCCAGCCCTAAAGGAAACACTTTATCGGATGATCTTCATTACTCTAAAGACAAACCACCACCACCAACAAAACATCTGAGAGAAGGCAGGTTCTTCATCAGATGAACAACCTAGGGCTCTGGTCAGAGCTGCTAAGGGTCCAGACCTGACAGGAAGCCCATCCTTCAACAGCTCTGTATATTCTTATCAAGTCATATATTAAGTTCGTGTGTGTATGAAGGTGTGTGTGCATGTGTGTTATGAGTGTACGTGGGGGTCACAGGTGAGCGGGTGAGATGCTAATCCTCAGAAGCCATCCAACTTATTTCTTGAGACAGTGACTCCCACCAGCCTAGGACTCACCAAATAGACTAGGCTGGCTGGCCAACAGAACTCACTGCCTGTCCCTGCCTCCCCTGTGCTGGGACTACAAGCATGTACCACCATGCCCGGCTTTTTTTTAACATGGGTTCTTGGAACTGAACTCAGGTCCTTATGCCTTCAAGCCAAGCACTTGACCAACAGAACAATCACTTCAGTTTATATATTATGCTTTAAGCTAGTAAATTTGAACACTAAAAGATATAGTAAAATTTCAGTCTAAGACAGACAATAAAATCAGGAAAGGAAAACGGAGAGCATCAGCGGTAATTAATCTTCTACCACCCCTAATCCCAGGTGACCCTAAAATGGATTAAACAAGAGGAAGAGGGAAATTTACATTCTACCACATCATTTTAAGCACCTTTTCAATCTCCAAATTGATGCTGTCTATATACTAATTCACTACAGAATTTCTGATTCATCCTTTCAGAAAAATCTAGAAGGTAAGATATTCCACAGGGAAAATGGCTCAATCTTTTCAACTAGTCATTGACATTGTGTGGGAAGGTGTGGGGGAGGCAAAAAGTGGGAAACTATTCTAAAATTATAAGTCTCCAAAGACATATAATCTAATGTTACTCCTGACCCTTGCTTGACTAGGTCCTAATAACAATTGAATTACAAGAGACTTTTTGAGACAATTTGGCAAAAGTGAAAGAGTGTGATATGATATTTTTCATTTTGTTAGTTGACAACAGTGTTGTGGTAAGGTAGGCAAATGGCCTCCTCCTTGTATTTATATATTTATTTCAATGCTGGTGACAGAATCTAGAGCCTTCCATGTGCTAAGTACATGCTCTACTGCTGAGCTGTACTCTGTCTCCTTTCTCATTTTTACAAGTGAATAGCAAGATTTGAGGCATAAAGTATTTTATAGTCTTCTTGAAAATATTTCACTAAGAAATAGCTGAGGAAATTATGGAATAAGACGTTAACAACTGAAAAATCTCTATGAATAATATTAGTAATTATACCACTACTTTAACTATTTTACCATTATGGCAAACAGACTATTTTCTTTGTATTTGTTATGTTTAATGCTTCATAAAAATAAACTATTTGAAAT